AAAAAAAAAGAAAACACAACACCGCGACGAACGATCGGATATCGGAGCTGCAATCAGACGGGACCGTCTTCCTTTCACGACCACGCGGCAGAGAGACGATGAACAAAACGCAACATTCCAAGCGGAAAGAGAGGACACTCACCTCCGCCGCGCGATTCTCGGCTGTTGCTTCGACGAACGGTCTCACGGCATCCAGCATCCTTCGCTCGCCGCGACTCGTCCTCTCCGTTCCCTTCTCTCGCTCGCTCGCTTGTGCGCACGCACACACACATACACACACACACAATTTATCTTTCTCTCTCTCTCTCTCTCTTGCTTCCAAGTACGTAATCGGAAACGACGAGCTACGATGATATTAAGTTTAAAGCCACAGAAGGGCACTGTTCTAGAGGGCATGTGTGTGCACGAGCGGCTACTTTAGCGGCTAACAGTTCACGCAAATTATACTCGAATACTCTCAAGTAGGCGGGGTGTGAGAAAAGTACTATTGTCGGTATGAATTCCGCCAAATTACGTGTGTAATTCGAGAGAGCCCTCGAGCGCGTTAAACAATACCGCGCGAGTATCTTTGTCCTTTCTTTCTTTCTTTCTTTCTCTCACTCTCTCCCCAAGTTCCTGCCAAGATCAAAAGCGCGTACCGATTTCGGAGTCACTTTCACAGCAAAACACGAAACAAATACACATTTGTCTCTTTTGAGTTTTTTGTTTCTCAAACTGTTATATCTCGTCGATTATAATAACGGAAATCCAACTCGATATAAATTCAAGGACGTTCTAAAAAGTCACTTTTAAGAATTTAACAATAAACCATTTGAAAGTAAAAGAAGTAAAAAAACATTTGATGTAATTTCTGTAACTACGGTAATAATATTACACGGTAATAATACGATAATCAAAAGTTCGAGTTTGAATTTGATTATCGAACGGAGAAAAAAACAAGATAATAAATACCCAAAAAAACTTGTAGCTTAACGAGAGACTCGCAAGAAGCCAGCGGAAATTAATTTATGTCGGAGACCTTGTGTACACATTCCGCGTGTAATTTCGAGTTGTGTAATTTTTTGTTTTGTCGGTGCCTGTTATTGCTCCGAGTGTCGATATAGCGCACGAAATTCGACGCGTTCAGAGATTCGACGCGCGTTTCGTCGCGACTCTCACACACGATCTTCGAACGGGAGACGTGTGAGCACGTTTACATGATTTTTCTCTTGACGTGCGTCTCAAAATAACCGGTTGACACCAAGAATGCGTGAAATGTACACGCCCGAAATTTATCCACCTACGCGCGAACTCATCTTCTCTCCGTCGTGTTGAGTCACGATTTTCCCTTCCCCTCTTCTCCCTCGCGATGTTATACACGGTCTGTTATGCGTGTATTACTGGATGCTTCGTTACGCGATTTTGTCACGTTAATCGCGCGGCTTCGTTGATCATCTCTCCCTCCCACAAAGCGCGTTCTTGTTTCTTTTCTCCGTTACAATCGCGGCATGCGAGCCAACGGCGTGTAAAAGCCACGTAAAAAGCGCGTAATTACTGAGATTATTACTTTGTAATTAATAGCCCCGTATATTTTCGTGTTATCAGATGTCGTCCGCATCCGTGTTTACCGCGCGGTGAGAACGAAGGAATTCCACAGATAAGAAAAATTGCGCACCGTCTCGCACGAAACGCAATTTCTCGTTTCACACTCGCAATTTTTTTCTTTTTTTTCATTTCATAAGAATAAATATATTACTTTAGAACATACGTGTGTGTTCGTTTCTTTTTTCGCAAAAAAGAGTGCGAATTGCGAAACTCACCTCGTCTGTGATTCGAAGTGACGAAGATCGAAGTGACGTCCCCCCGAGCGACAGCTGTCAGATCGACGATATCTTTACCGATCAACGCGATTCTCCCTATCTCGCGCGTCACTGCACTTTAATTCCATCAGAACGGCAACTTATCCCTTTTCCGGCATCGACGCACTGAACTCAACTATCTCTCGTTGCACACGAAACACATCGTGAAACCGCCCGAAGGTACACAATCCGAATCTCCTTATAGCGCGACAGCCGCTTCGTTTCCCCAACAGGTTTTTTTTTTTCGTAACGATCGAAACCGAGAAACTATCGGTTCGACATTGTGAAATAGCACTTGAATTTTATTCCCATTTGAAATTCCAATTTTTTGGAAGATCGAGAAGCGTCTTACATCGATCAGCACGGTAATCGTCAACTAATTAATAGCGATCGCAAAAGCAAATAATTCGCGCTTATAAAAATTAAAAAAAAAAATCATTGATACCGTTCACACACGTTTGTGTAATATATCACAATTTTTCCTTCACTTTCCGAGCTCCGAAAGATGCGTCATCGATCGATCGCCGATCGGCGGAACGCCCGGAAAGCGCGCATACGCGTCGACGCCGTCAACGCGATGACGCGCCGAGAAGGAGGAGAACGAAGGCGACTCTCACCGCGAGAGATACGACACCTGACTCGGGTCGCGTTATCTTTTCGCACGTGGTTGCCGCGTTTCAATCGTATTTTTTTTCCCCGACGCAAGAAGGAAAAACACAGACCTGAAACGCGCTGCGGAACACACACACGCGTTACCGCGTAAGGACGAAACCGACACGACACTGGACGAGAACGGGCAACAGGTTCGTCGGCTTCCCCCGAAGAACGCGACATAGGTGAGGGGAGGTACGGGGAGGGGATAAGCGGCCAGGTAAGCCAGGTAAGCCGCCATTGCTCCTGACGCAGCATCCAGCTTGACAGTGGCGTAATTAACGGGATCCGCCAGGGCCCTCCTCGCATTAGTATACTTGCGAAAGGCGGAAGACGCGAAGAGGTTGAGATGACGATGGTTTTTTTCTTGACGAAGCAAACGGCAATTTCGAAAATAAATCGTAGGTCGATGTCGTGACGAAAATTTATTGTGCGCGCGTGAAAATTATTCCCACGCAATTTTTTCGAGCTACGTGCAAATGTTTTCTGTCTCATTGAAACCTTTCAATTCGCCAAAATCGTCTTAATGCAATTTTTTACATCATATTTTCATATAGAAACTGGAATTTCTTTCGAAAAAAATAAAAAAAAAAAAAACACTAGAGAAAATGCTAATTATCCGAGAGACTTTGTTAGTTACGACTCGTAATTAACAAAATTATTAGCGTTTTTATTTATTAAGTTAATACCAAACAAAAAAAAGTGAGTTTTTCGAATTTTCTCGAACAAGTAGCTCTGTGTGTTCATTTTTGTTGTTCACACATTTGTCACCGTTTATCTAATCTACGCACCGGTGTAATCGACTGTGTTTGACGTACAGCACCTCCGATAGGAAGTGTCGGTTACGTCACTGCGGCAACAGGTTGTTGCCAATGAGAGCTGCCATGAATGAGCGAGCGGAGCTCGTTTCGTGGCAACGCACAACCTGCCCCGTGTTGGGCAGAAAACGAGTGCGATCCTTCGTCGCTACGGACACACGGACGGATTCGCTCTCTCTGTCCGTAAATCCGTTCCATAAATATGCGAAATCGCGCGGCTCGCGGCTCGCAAAGAGTTGCGCGTGCGCACACACGCACAATATTTTTGCGACAATCGCGAATCGTTCGCGGCTCTTTCTCTTTCTCTCGGTGGGTGGTTTCATCGTTGTAACAGCCGATGGATTCTCACGATCCTCGTCACGGCGACGCGCGCTATTGTGAAAGGCTGTTTTCGCTCGCACGGACCAGAGGCCCGGGTCATTATCAAAAACCGCGGATATCGCACGTCAGCTGCTCGCCGGAGAGAAACTTTTTAGATGGTTAATGTAATGTTCGTGTTCGTGACTTGAAAGAGAATAAAAAAGCTCGCGTACACTTTTGGAGTTTTTAAGAAGAAATCTTTTTTTCTTTTAAACTATTCTAAAACGTATTTTAAAAAAATTCATATTCTATATTAAATTGTTACTATTTCAAAAACAATATTACAATAAATATAAATATGATATTGCAATATTAATATATAATGCAATATTTTCTAGATATATACATTTTCTCTGCAAAAGTTTGTCTTCAAAGAAAAATAGAGTCGTTCGAGGAGCAAATTCTTCGCATTTTTCTAGGCTCTAATTTATGACGGTGTTTTTTTCACAAAAGAGCAAAAAAATAGGACTGATTGATCGTCGGTGTGGAGAGATAAGAGCGAGGAAAGGAGCCGGATTGAGTTAAGGGAACGCGCGGATGTAAGAACCAGCTGATATAGCGGACGTACGTAATTGCCGTCGCGATTCACTGCCGTGACGGAAGATTAAGAAAAATGCAAACTGGCGTTTATCCCAGCAGAGGAGTAAGAAATACGAACGTGTCACCTGTTGTGGGGGGGAATGCATTTTACGGAATAAATTACACTTACGCTCGAAAGTGACAGTACGTAGCGATCGAATCGCGTTTAACTCAGAGATAGTTTATTACACGGAGTGTTTCTCGAGATAAATCTATTCTAAAAAAGGAGAGAATAATCTACAAAAGAATCTATTTTTTATATATCGATATGATGACGTAAAAAAACCGAACGGTAGAACGTTTGAAAATTATCTCACTTTTTTTCTTATCAAATATTGACGATTCTTCATTCATCACTTGCCGCTCCCGACGTTATCAATATTGAGTCAGAGATTGAAAGCTACAACTTCGAAATAAATCTCGACGTTGAATTCTAATTCAAGTTACTAAAACAAAAAATAAAATCTGAAATAAAAAAAATAACAACACTCGACGCGCAAAATTAAATTTCATCTTATCATCAAATTTATCGTAAATTCGTCATTTTTTTTCCAGCCCGGCTGTTAAAAAAATAACGCGGAAATTATTTATTAAAAAAAAAAAATGATAAATAAATTTCTAAATGTGAACCGACCGAGAGAGATAGTTGTGAAATTTATCACGTTTTACACTTTTACCGTGAGATGGAAGCAGCGTGCACGTAGCTCCGCGCGTGCAGCAGCTGTCATCGGAGATGACGAGGATGATGCGCGCGTGTCGCGTCACGTCTCGTCGGCAGCGAGACGTCGATCGTCGCAACGTATATGTGTACAATACGTCAGTGCACCGACGGTGATAAGCGCGCGGAGGAGGCGTGTTTGTGCGGAAAGAGCGTCGTTGGGCGGCGAAGGGACGCGCGGGCGACAATCGCAGATTCCGCGGCTAAATGCGCCGTGTCGCGCGATTCCGCAACGCGGAGGCTGCGATTACTTGAAAGAGGATAACCTCTCGGCGGATCCCGGATCGCGGTGGCAAAATCACAATCGCCACGTACAAAAACGAGCCGAGACGGTAATTTCTCCGATCATGGCGTGTCTGTTGCTGAATCAGGAGAACGTGCGAGTGAAAATACCGTCCTTCGAGACAACGGACGGGGTCACGTATTACTGCATCGAGGTTGGAATCGCGTCGATCAAATGGACCGTGAAGCACAGGTGATAACCTTCTCGCAAACGACAGTATCTCGTGTACAATAATATGTTTTTTTTTGTTCTAATTACATAGTTTTTTTTTTTTATTGTAATTCGCAATCGCGCGGCAGACACAAAGATGAATGACGGTTTCTTTGTTTCAAGATACAACGATTTCGCGGAATTGCACGAGAAACTGGTCTCCGAACATTGCGTGGAAAAGGACATTTTACCGCCAAAGAAACTCATCGGCAACAAGTGCGAGGCTTTTGTGGAGAAACGCAGACAAAATCTCGAGATATATCTGAATATCGTTTACAATTACCTGAAGAAAGCGATGCCCAGAGAACTGGCTGTGTTCCTCGATCTTCACGTATACGACATATACTTTTTGCTGCAGAGCATGGCTCTGGAATTTTTTATTAGCGGCGAAGCTCTGCTACAGACTTCTACCAGCTACAAGTTCAACCCTATACAGGTAACAAAGAAAAAATCGTTCTTGGTTGATTAATAGTAAGATCCACTTGGCGCTCGCAATGATAACCGCGTCCAAATCGTTTAACTGCATTGGTCTATGTCCGGCAAATCGACTAATGCGACGAAACCTGACCTACGCTCACGATCGCTGCGAGCGCCAAGTGAAACTTGCTCTAAATCGACGCAAAACTGTCGCAAGACGTTAATTGGCGCGTCTCTCTCTTGTGTTGTTTTTCAGTTGCACGCGATCAGCGAGAGATTGAAGCAACCGTGTCCGCTGATGGAAGTCGTGGATAAAAAATACGACTTTAGTCACGTTCTCGACTTCAATTCTCATCTAACTAGTCTCACGATTGAGGGTAGTTCGGAACCCTACAGAACCAGCAATATTTACACCTCCACGTTGCCCATCGAACTGTCCACTTTTAAGAACGTGCAAAATTTAATGATCGATCGATATCCCGTGGACAAAATCTACAACATGGGAAATCTACGGGACACCGTAACGACGTTGAAGGTGACAAACACCAAGCTCAGAAGCATCGTGGAGTTGGCTATGTGCGAGGAAGTTCACAAGATCATCGAGAACGCGAACGATTCTCACGTGTGGATGAAAGTCACGCATCTGGACCTAAGCGACAATCGCATCGAAGTTATCGACGAGGCGATCAAGCTGCTGCCGCAGATCGAGTGCCTCACGTTGAACAACAATCACTTGTCCGAGATCTCGAATGTGACGTTACTGCCGAGATTGTCGCAGCTGTATTTAGCGTCCAACAATTTCGCCAGTTTACCGGACGATCTTCACACTCGGCTCGGATACATCGTGTACATCGACCTGTCGCAAAACAAATTGACCTCGCTCGCCAGTTTCTCCAAGTTGTACTCGTTGGAGGGACTGGACGTAAGCTGCAATCGCATCGAGAGGATCGAGGAGGTGAAACACATCGGTCACCTGCCTTGTTTGGAGAATCTGAGACTCACGGGCAATCCGGTCTCCACGATAGTGGACTACCGAGTCAAGGTGTTGGAGCCGTTCGGCAAACGTGCCGCGGAAATCTGTTTGGATAACGAGAAACCGAATCAAAAGGAACTCGATACCGTGTCGGTTCACCAGGCGTTGCGCATCGCGAGAGAAGGTAAATCGCCCACCTTCACCGCGTCGGACGCTCCTCTGTTCTCCGCTGAAGTTCCGAGTATATAAAAAAAAAAAAAAAAAATTCAGTTGCGATTTTCCTTTTTATCGCGATGACCAAATTTTGCGATGAATATTTAGATACGAAAAATAATTAATTAAATACGCGAAGAAATACGTTTTTATACGATATGTAAATTTTATCGATTTACGAGACTGAATCTGTTCTCTTAACGGAATTGTAGTGTTTTTGGTCTTGTGTTTTGTCGTTCGCCGATCGGTTTGGTGCAATACAAAATTTTTTTTATTGCCGTTGCGAGAAACCAAATACACACGTAGAACAAAGTAGTGCGCTTTGTCGTAATTTCTCTAGTTAAGTCCCAGAGATAAAACGCACCGAAGTTTTTTAATCAAAACTCTTTAGATCCATGACAAAATTGTAAAAACGTGATATCGCAATCGGAACGAATTCACCGGGAATGTCGCTATACTCGATACATGTAATTTATATGTTAATGAAATTACACACGTAACGTGCATCTTTTTTTTCGATCGCAATTCGTAACAATCGACAACTCCGTTTGTTATGTAAATTGCGCGGCGTAAATTAATTGATTTTATCCCGTTTCCCGTTTTACGCAAGACTTTTATCTTTCTCGATCGTTTAAATATTATTTTAAATCGTTTAAAATTATTTTAAGGTATCTTGTTTAACTCGTCTTCTTCATTTTTAAGAAATAATATACAAGAACTCTGTGAATCAGTTTTATAATAACTTAGTGTAAAAGAGATTATATATATACATATAAAGAAACATTATTTTGTTAATAAAGACAAGTAAATCAAACATTTCTGTGTAACTTGGATTTTTCTGTAACTTGTTTTTGTCGTACGAAATATTGTTGTTTACAACTAAATAATAATAAATTAAAACAGAGGTCTCAAATTACGAGCAAAGTATAGATCGAGGTAAAATATATATTCATTTAGCAATCTCAATACATAAGGTGTGTATTTAATTTATTATTATTTAGTTTTAAACAACGAGCGATTTCTCTATTATTGTTTATACGCTGATCGCGAAGAAAGCATCGATAATATTTCACATGCCGAATTGTCCCCACTTACCTTGCACGTTTTAGAAGGAATATATATATGTTAACTTTCGTTTTTCTTTACATTATTATTAACAAAATACACATTTATTTTGTCATCGACTTTTATTTGAACTTGTGTTCGCATTACCTTTAAGTATTATGCGTATCTCGAAAAAATATTAAAATATTCATAAATAATATCAATTATGTATATATATATATATATATAATGCTCATATATATATATTTATGTATATACTAAGCTTTCGTGTTATAGTCTTTTAACGTACACCTAAACTAACACGTACACATGTAAGTTAACCATTACAAATAATCGTTTCTCTTTTTTTTTTTTTTTTGTTTTCGTTGATTTGTAATAGTTTTTTCGATTTGATATCGCGGTGCACAAGTAAGCAACAGCTCATTCACAGCTTCTCGAAAAAAAAACCGTCTCTCTAACTAAAAAAAAAATATTTCTTGTCAAAAGGCAATGCACATTTCTTGAAAAATGTTACGCTACGAGGGGGAGTTTCGAAAATACTCTGTGTATCAAAGGAATAAAGCTGCTCTCGTATGAAAAAGGCAAAATTTATCAAACATTTGTCGTTATATCTGTTGTGCACATTTGCACTTTTGTAGCACTTTCGATATTGATCTACGTTTGATTTTAACGTATTTTTTTTTTTTTTTCATTTTTAAGTTTATATTACACACAACGCGCTTGGCGCGCGGCTATCATTTTTATTTTCGCTATTTTTGAAGTAGTCGAAATTGGTCGAATATCGTTCTCGCGAATAAATCGACTTGCGCTTAAGTTATCGTATGTAAGAGATTAGAGAAAGGATTAATAGAAAGAACTTACAAAAGAGAAAGGATCCAATTCGGGATAGAGAGAGAATGGTGGTTGGAAATTCGGAAGGAATTCGAGGAATTCGCAGGAAAAATCAGACGTCGGTTTTTGTTTCCCTCCGCGCGACGTTTCCGTCGCCGGAGTTTACTGGTGCGCAATCGGGATCAGCTTCTCGCCCGAACCGATCGCCGGTAAAGGCGCCTCCACAGTGAGAACACCGTCCTTGCTCAGAGAAGACTTGATGCTCTCGGGGTTGGTTCCTTTCGGCAACAAGAACTCTCGGTTGTACTCTCTGTAAACCGATTTGCTCTCCGTCTTCTCCTCGTGTTTGGCGTGAACCTGAACAAACGAAAGTTTATACACCGTGTTACATTTACAACAGTAATCTCGTGAGTCCTCGAAGTTTGCAATTACAATCGCGTCTATAAATCTTACTTCGATCTGTTGTTAATAAATAAAATACAAAAATATAAATTCCAAGCAACGTTGCAACGTTTTATATCGATTATATTATCGATTTAACATTACATTAGTAAGATTAACGTTAACAAGCAGTGCTTGTCATTTCGTCCGCGCGCGCTTTCACGGCATACAAGTTTACAAGTCGTCGTTAATATTCGCCTCGCGTGCGCTTAAAAAGCATGTCGCAATTGATTTATTCACACGGGGGGAGGGACGCACTAACGACCTCTTATTTCGATATTTCTTCGAAAGACGTCCATGTACGTACTCAACGCGATATTTTCTCCATAAGAAATTCACACTCGGTTTACGTAGAATAAACCGTCACGAGTGACGAGAAAAATAATCGTTGCCTCGATACCACGTGTATTTGCACTGAGAAAAAAAACTACTGCAATGTCAACAAAATGTTTATAGTTCGCAGTCAATTGTTACTTCAAGTGTTTGTTTTTTTAATTTAAACGTACGAGAGAGTTAAAATAATATATATTTCTCTCAACGAATATATTTGATTGATAAAATCTCTGGACCGCGGCAAATGGTTGGTTCAAGTAAGATTTTCGTGATTCGTCAATTTTCTTCGTCATTCTTCTCTTCTCGGTGTACATGCACACCGAGAAATGTCCTTCGGAAATGACGCGAGTAATTTCTTTACGAGTAAACTAGAAATGGGGCAACGAGAAGTGTTGTGTGTAATAGTGACCGTATTACTCATTCCTCGTTCGCGACCCATGAGTCACTCGTCCGCTCCGTTTGACCATGCGTAGGTTTCATCTCCTTAGTGGAAGCGTGGGGTTATAGTATAACGTGTCAGACATCGATCCTATTTTTTTTCCGCGAGTGAATAACGCGAGACGCGCCACGGCGTTACACGGGATGCGCACGAATTGTGTGTATCGGTTACTTGGCGTTTTCGCGCGAAGTATCGAGAGGGATCGACAACAAAACAACAACGGCGTATCGAGTGACAGATTTTTCACGTAAACAAGTCTCTCGTCAAGAGTCTCCCCCCGTCGCGTATCTTGATTGTTTATAAACTTCTTGCCGGAGATATTTTTGCGCGATAAAGTTTATTACATTTGTCGACTAGTTGCTTCACGAAACTTGTTGGCAGACAATGGAGCGAAAATCAGGACGAAGATCTCCGCTAAAAAAAAAAAAAAAAGTGTCCTTCTAGCGTAAGTGGGTTACGAGAGTCTCGGCGGAAATCAGAACGCGTTTTACGAGACTGAGGATATATAGTTCGTAAACGACAAGGACGAAGGACGAAATGGAGAAAATGGCGGAGTACCACCGCGCCATAGCTTCTGCTAACACATTCACGTCGACGCGAATCGATTTTTAAACTTCCTCGCGAGTTATCTTTCCTCCTGTTCGACCCGGTTTGTCTTGCGAAACTAAAGAAACATAATTGCGTTCCCCTCGACATTTTCAAGTGAAAAAAGTCAGCGTAAAAAAGTACGTTGAGAAAAATATCCGTATGTTCCCCATCCCTCCCCCTCTCCCCCAAGAACATACCCAGGCGAGACAGTTTTGCCGCCGTGACTCAGTAATCAATATACAAATTTGCATTTTATCGCAAGGAGATCGGTCGCCCGCACACACTTGCGCGCAAAAGAAAAAACGTATATCCGCACACACAACCGCGCGTCCCAAATTCTTCAAACGTACCTAAAACCACCTCGGCTCGCGTGACGCGCATTACCGCTTCGTCGCGAAACAGTTCAAACCAGATGCTATCGATGAAAAAAAAAAAAAGAAAAAAAACAACGTCTCGATGAATTATACATAAGACGTCGCTCGACCCTGTTTATCAGACTTCAAACTCGAGAATCGTATTGCATTCTCGTTCCCGGTTATATCTCGGTCTCTTTTATATAGGTTTTTCTTAAATTGTGTGCGATCCGCACCGGATTATCTTCCGAACGCAATTTGACGGACGTTTTTAAAAAAACAAACTCTTCTGTTAAAGGAAACTTATACTCTGAAAACACGCAGAGGAGACTCCAGTAGTAGTCGTTACTTGGAAAAAAAAAAAAAAAAAAAAAACATGCAAATATTGTTACCGCGCGTATTCGATGCATACGGCGCGTCACTCGAATCGAGTTTTGTGCAAATGAATGTTGTAACGACAAAGTCGTTACATCACGTTAACGATGAGAGTTACGATCAGCGACGTATTTAGAAATTACGGAGTCACACTCGCCTTGAAGATCGCGGTAGCGCGATGTTGACTCACACGATCGCTCAATGAAACTATTGTATTTTTGTAAAACACTGTACACACAAAAAAGATGTACTAGATTCGAATCGCAATTCGCAAGTGTATCAAAAAAAAACATTTTCTCCAATTTTAATTAACTATTTTTATTTAGCGAATATCAACGAGAGATTTCAATTTCTAATTAAAATTGTTTACAAAACAATTTTTTTTTTTCACACAAAGCGAAGTTTTTTTTCTCACTCTCTCTCTTAATTTTAATCAAGAGTGTATGTTTCTTTGTTGGAATATAATCGAGACGGACGCGAACTTGCAATATGAGCTCTGTGCAGTCGGCGACCATCTCGCGCGATCGACAGTAAAGTCACGATGCTGACTCTGGCAGGGCCTTAACTACTCTCTCTTTCCCCTCGTATCGCTAATCGCGATGCTATTTCTTGAAGCGTGTCTCGATGGCTTTGTCGCGCGTGCAAAAAAATGCAGGTGCAGGATATGCCGGGCCGCGCCCATTAGAGCGGCAAAAGACACACAAAGCGGCATCAAAGGCAGAGGCCTCGCGAACGGTAGGCGAGGCTACTACTCGTGCTAATTGCATTACGTAAAAGCCGTTAATGAGTTACACCCGATTCGCTTCTTTCTCTCTCTCTCTCTCTCTCTCTCTCTCTCTCTCTCTCTCTCTCTCTCTCTCTCGAACAACTTTCGTCGTCACGTTTCGAGACGACCGAGTAAGATTCGACCGCGAACGAATGACCCATCCGTTGTCGCTCGCGACACGTGCCAACAAACGAAATAAACCGGCCTTAACCTTGCGCACGTGTGAAAAATTGGGCCGACACTCTCGACATTTAAATGTATGTTGTTCTTCGTACGCGATTTTAGCATTCTTCTTCTTTGTTTACACGTCGGTGACACATTAATGACAACTTGTATATTCGAGACGCGTTGTTGTCGCTTGTGTTGTCGCCTTGCATAAATTTTCGAATGTGAATTCTCCGAAAGCATCCGCTTTCGGTCGAATTTCAATTTCAACGACGGTAAAAGTAACCGAGAGGTAACACGTTGGGATGTGTGAGCTGAATGCAATTTTAATTTACAAATTTTATTTTTACAGAAAAAACTCGCCAATGTGTCAGTTGCGATAATACAAAGTTGTCATTGTGATTATTCTTCGTCGGGAAATGCTTTTTCGCAAATGAACGTTCGAAATCTTCTCCCTCGTATAAGAGTCGCGTTCAATCACTCGGATATCTATTTTCGCCCGAACAAATACAAATACGGGTCAGGAGATAACGTAAGTCGATGCCAAAGTAAAAGGGATTTCGTTTCCTGATGAGAGCAAAGCCGCAAAATAGATTTTACCGTACTACGAAGAGAGAGTCATTCACTTAGCGCAATTTCTCTCTTTCTTTTTCGCACGTACGTAAAAGTTTCTCCGTGAGATATCGATCGGGCTGTGCTGCTAAAAGACCACAAACTACTACTCGCGAAGAGGAAAACGCGCGGAGTAATCCTAGCCGCTCCCGTCGCGGGACCGCGAAAAAGAGAGGAAAAGAAGGAGAAAGAGAACGAAAAGAAAAGCAGAAAAGGGGGAAAGAGACGTCGGGAGACGCGAGCACAAACTACGGTAACCCAACTCGCCTCGCAGGATCTAAGTTTTCGCAACGGGATATCGTCTTACGAGAAACGTGGACGATATTACGCAATCACCACCAGCTGTAAACCACCAGTCATTGGAGCGACCGATTTGCCAAACTTTAACGCACCCTCCACCGATTTCGCGCGACGAAATCTGGGTTACACGCTTTTGCGTCGACGGTATCTCATTATAGCGATTCTATAATTCTGCGAGTCACGTACACGTTTCCACGATATTGGAAAATAAGTAACAACAACAAATATATAATTCGAAAGTAACAAATTGTCAAAATAATTTTATTTTATAGTTCGCGCAATGCGTGCGAATAAGTTTTGCGCTCTTCTCTCGAATTTTTCTCGAAGAGAAAATCAACGCGAGGAAAATATTTTCGGCGTTTAATAGAGTTTAGCTATCCAAAATTCCGTGCCGCGATTGTCGAAAATAACGTAAGCCACCTAGGCAGCTCTGACTCACGAACTAAATATAACCGTGAATTTTAACGTCCACACTTCTGCCTTCTCGCGAGAATGGTGGTAAAATAGATTCGGATACTTGTAATAATCGATCAAACGCGATTCGGAATGACTCGGAATCCGTGATAACACATTTTTTATTCCTCCTCTTCGTGAAAAGAATTATTACACACACACACACACACACACATTCGACTCGAATCTCTCTATTACGTCTTTCGATCGTAAATGTCTCTCGACACATTTCGGAAAGAGACACGCCTCTTTCCTTAACCAGGTTTTTAACGAGGAAGACCCTTATTTTGTCGCGGAGCTTTCAATTAACGTCCGCAAGACGTACACACATCCGGGGAATATTTAGACGTTCATCAATTAAATCCTCATCAAAGTCCACTCAACTTGGCACGAGTCGCGAGCAAGAGCGACGAAAAAGGAGGCGAGAAGGTGTTGCACGCCTTCTCGTCGCTTCTCTGCGGTGACGTCACTGTGTCAGACGCGCGCGCGAGAGAGGTTTCTCTACTTTTCTTCTTCGTGTGCGTGTGTGTATATAAGATATATATTTTTACATCCCTGGTCTGGACCTTGCTTCGTCCTTCAAAGCGTCGTCCTCGGTCGAGCCCTTTAAGGTTTGTTCGCGGCCGACCTGAATTCGCTGGACCCTGACCACGATACGCGCTTCGGGGTTCTTTGTTGCCGTTCAGGTTCCGTCTGCCCGTTTATGGAAGACTGCTGCTCCCGTTCCCCTCGAAATTATCTCAGAAGAAAAAAAGAACTCTCGCGCGCGAAAATAAGTTTCTTTTCTCCTCTGAACGAAATCGTCAGATCTGGAGAGAAAAAAGATCGAGGGGAATCGATCAATGCAAAAAAATTGGGTTAACGCGGCGAAGCTTAATTCCGATACCGGAATTTCGAACACCGAAAACTGGACAGAGAAAATTTATTTTCGAGGACCCATAATGTACGCGCTAACGAGTAAAAGACCTCGACTCGGTCTTGTTCGCGAGAGAGAGAGAGATAAGGTGACCGCGGCGACGAATAAATTTTTAAGAAATGAGAACGCGCCACTTTAGGCTGACGACTCATCATCAGCAAACACGACGTTCGTACGTGTGCGTGTTTTGACAGCCGTTTCCACTGAACTGTTATAAACTACTTGTGTACGCGCGCGCGAAAGCAAATGCTAAGAAAAACACGCGCTTGTTTTCCCCCGCCGGAGATGTCAACAGCTGTTGATATTACAATAATATCGAGAGAGAGAGAGAGAGAGAACTCTATTATTAGCGTATCTCACCAACGATTCTCTTTCTGCGTTCTACGCGCGCGCGTTTTAGAAAAGGTGATAAAAATCTGTCGGACAGAGAATAGAATTGCACAATTAAGTTTTGAACAAACGATTCAGCGTGACTTGTGAAACAGGTTTGTGTAAGATACGCGACGAGGCGCGCTTCGAGGTGTCAGTCACGTGACTCGTGAGAGGCCCGTGAAATCGAAATGAAGTAACGAGCTCGCGCTCGACCGACCGGCCGGCCGGACGGACGGATTTATCGAATAAATCATCGGAGTATAATACCGTTCCTTGTTCGCCGACGGATGATCCTCTCATCGTTGCGGATCTTCCTTTTCATCGCGAGAGTGACGGTACAATGGCCTCGTCAATCGAGCGTGCATAACGGTAGAGAAATTTTTGCAACATGCTCATCTTTGATAGACGTGATCTTGCTTTATTTATCAGAGAAAGAGGGAGTTGAAGAGAGAAAAAGGGAGTTGAGGAGAGAGGGAGAGAGAGAGAGTGAGAAAAATGATTATCTCATGATGATTTCCGCTCAATTGCTTCCCTTATTGAAGTGAATAGATAATTCTTCGAGATTGCTATCTCGCGTTACAAAACAGAAGGCCGGGGATATATATCGTGTATCAAACCGATATCACGTAACGCGTCCTCTTCCCCCCGGGCAATTACTTAAGTAAGCGAACGCGCTTGCGCACTCAGTGCGTACGATTACGCACGCACTTGGCAAATTTTAATTGAATTGTCAATTTATGTCGCGAAATAACGCGGGGTTATATGCGCGAGAAAAAATCACGTCTCTCCCGAGTAATTCATAAGCGTACGACAAAGTGCGATCGCGATTTCGAGCTCTCGGCGTTCGTTCACAACGGCCGAACATTTATTCCGATCCGTGTCGGTGTGACGACTGGCGACGTGAATTTATTTTCGGCGCCGGTTATTTCCGTCCAGGTCGGCGCGAGAACGTTAGAGAGAAGGAGCTCTCTCGCAAGAGACGCTAGAAATTCCGACGAGATCCGAGATGATATTAGTCTCTTCGCGCGCGTTCCTTCAAAATTCTCGAGGAACGCGAAGAAAGGATATGTACGATGATAATCATCCGTAAATTCGTCCGAATTTATTATGCGCACCCCCTCCTCCCCATATTTTTGCTGTTCAAGAGGTGTGATACGCGACGAAAATACGCGGGAAATACACGAAATAACGAATTCGCGCGCGGAATCTCGTGAGAAATTGAGGCTGCGCGCGAATTCGTGCGTGATGATGAAGCAAGCAGACTTCCCTGGCGGGAAGTGACGCAACTCGTGCGGCAATTACCGCGTTCTACATAGTTCATCAAGACTCGCCCCAAGTAGTACCTACACAAGGTACTCTGCATTCCCCCTCCCCTCTCTCGCCGCCGTCATGATTACTTCCCGTCCGTTCCGCTGTAATTCACGTGTAAATTTTTCGCGAAACCTGAAGCGGCAAGAACTGTTGATTTATACATCCGTTAAAAAATTGTTTCACTCGGCGGAAGAACGTCGTGAAAGACGAAAAATTACGATCAATTTCCGTTGGTTCAATTCGTCGTCGGCAAAAACGAATCTTAATTCGCGCGACGTCTACTCGAGTATGATCGACTATCGTCGCGACGACGGCGGGACGAAGAGATACGCGGGCAACTTTGTGTCGCGCCAGTTCGCGATTCAATTGCGCAAAATACCCGAGTCCCGATTTGCATCTTGCCAAGTTGCGCAAGAGACGATCCCGGCGTGTATCGTCGTGTATGAGTCAACACTGTGCAATAATTTCGGAGACGCGCGAATTTTCCGAGAGAAGGGAACGCGCGATAAATCGACGCGCGAAAGAGCGCCCCCCTCCTCTTCCCCCAAGAGACTCCGAGTAATCTATTGTCGTGTGAATTAAATCGCGTGAGACAGTCGCCGAGAATAAACTTCCAGCAACAATTATCGAAAGTATCATGTTACGCGAGTTTGCAATCGAAATGTTTACAGATCAAATTTATTTTAATGACGAAAAGAAATACAAATGTGCCGATTAATAGGTTTCCGGTCGCGACAAAGCGGCTGCTTTTGGTGAAACCTAGTCTATTTTAAGACGACCGGTCAAGCATTAATCTCTCGCGAAACGCTTCGCTTCGGGGAAAATTTTGCTTACCAGCAGCTTGTTGTCCACAGTCTTGACGACGATTTCTTCGGGCGTGTATTGCGAAACGTCGAAGCGCAGCTTCAGCATCTTGTTGTCACCCTCGTCCTGGATGAGGGGACTGTTGAGGCCGTCCAACCAGGTATGATCATGCTGAGGACTCAGAGAACTGCTGTTCTGAGTGGACTGTTGCGTGGTGGTGCTGCAATTTAAAGAAACAAAAACGGAAATTCGGTTATGCCGTCCCAAATCGATCGGCGCTCGTAAAAGCAAGAGATTTTTAAATGAGAAAACGGTGAGAGAGAGATCACATTAAACGATAAACGATTGATGATGAGAGAGCGACGTTGACTCTTCCGTGAACACTAAGTGCGAAATTCCTGTGTGTGCGTGTGTGTGTGTGTGTTGACTACACTACGGTACGAGTTGTGACGTTTGAAGCCTTACTTACGGTGACGTAACAATGCGACGGAGACACACAAGAGAAATACAAACACAGAGTAAAAAAACGCAAAAATTGACATTGAGAAAAAATCGTGCACTGATGGTCTCAACACCAAAAAAACCGACGAATGTTAATTTCCAAATATCGACGATCGAAACGAAGTTACAACTTTTTCTAACAGCAACTTCTTAGTTGTTGCTAGATACAAAAAAAAAATACAAAGAGAATTTTATTGCAGAACGAATTGGAATAATTGACATCATTCAATTACAAGCAATTGAGATAATCGCGTTGGCTTTTTCAGTGTTGATTAGAAGTGTTATTTGATATACGCAGCACTTATGATCTATGCGATGAGAAACATATGAGGTATGAATCGTGTCAATACGAACTTGCGTTAACCCTTCGTAGAAGAAGCGTATTACACTGCGATCTTATACTCCAATTCTCTAGTTCTTATCTAAGTACGTTCTCGATTTTGTTATTCTTATATTACAACATTTATACGATCTAATCTAATTAATTTCGTATCACAAATTTGAGACGAGTCGTTTTTTTTTTTTTTTTTTAATCCAATTCCGCGGGTTACGCAAACGGGAAATACACTTTTTGTATTCTCGAGTTCTCTCTTCGTTGTGTATATAATCTGTGCATTGTAATTAAAAAATCATCAAACTTATTATGTAATCAATCAAAATCTCTAAAACTCGCTTCCCATTTGCCTAACTACGTCCGAATTGTATACAAGCGCAACACTCTAGGTAATTTTAATCCTCAAATCCATCCCTACCAAGGGTTAAAAAACAAAAACAAAACCGAGACAGACAAACGGTGCAGGGTAAAAATACTTTCGGGGTAGGTACACATACAATAGAGTTAATTAACAAAGTGCGGATTAATCGATTTGTACCACTACCGCTATACTTCACATAACAAGCGTCGAATCTACTCGATCCTCTGACAAGCTTGATTGGAAAATTGAGATCGGGACGGTTCGCACCCCCTTATTTTTCGATTCCCATGCGAATCGATCGTATCTCTACATCGATGGATTCTCGCGTGCTTTTCGAGGTTTTTTTTGTTTCGTCTATATGTGTTTTTCTTTCCCTTTTTTTTTGTTCTACGTGTGTTATAGGCGTCACCTTTTGAAGCTGTCGAACGCGGACCGCTTCGACGGTGCTGCAGGATCGACCTTGTCCCAACCTTCGGTCTTCGAGGTCGTCGACGTGTGGTGCTCGCTGGTGCTCGTGTGATGCCGACTTCATAGTTAGTGAACCAACGTGCCAATGCAGAGAGACAGAGAGCGAGCGCCAATATCGGTAGTCGAGCGCAGAGAGGAAGAGGGATTGTTTGTTATTATTATTATTTATTATTATTATTATTATTATTATTATTAAACAGTTAACTGTGGCTTTTGGTTTGTGGCGGAGTTTTCGTCCGGATCTTAATCCGCCGCGGTTACGCCAAACGCGGTCCCCGCGTGTTTCTTGGCCGGTGCGATCGTCCCCGCGCGATTAATCTTAGCTCCGCGATTTCCTCAGGCCAGGTTTCATCAACGATAAACAGTTATTCGTCCAACCGTAGAAGCGGATCTCTTTTTGAGATCCTCTTCTTCCTATCTTACAAGTAATAATCCTTTTCGCGCGTCGTGTTATTTTCGTTTAACAAAAACATCGGTTCTTAAGCGGGATTTATTCAATCGATTCTCGACGATACCACAGTTGGCGATCGCCAAAGCCGTATCGATCGACGAATAAAACTGTTCGAAATGTTTACATGTAATTCCGTTTGACGAAATCCAACCCTCGGAACTATCGATCGTGTCTCGTCAATGTCGCGCTGTGCCAGATTCTCGATATTGATTTTTCAGTAGCGCGAGCACTACTTCGAATTGAATGTTTCGCAATCAAGATACGGGGTTATAATACTAAATAGAAGATTAACGAGACACTTTTGGGAGCGGTTAATTTATTCGCACCAAGAAACAAACGACCTAGTGACATTCCAAGCAAGATATGTTTAATTAAAAAACTTTCTTTTTTTCTTGTATTCTCACTTAGAATGCCGTACTTAGTTAATTACGCAATAAAAAAATGCTGCAAACGTAAATGGGTTTTTTTTTTTTTTTTTTTTTTTTTTTTTTTTTTTTTTTTTTTTTTTTTTTGGAAAAGAGTAAAAGTCAAACTGCACAAAAAATGATCTTACAAAACTCGCTATTTCTCACACGTCTGCAACATTTTTGTGTTGTCAATTCGGTTATACATGTCGTAAAATTATTTTTAAAAATCGCAACTGAAACCTGAAAATTAAGCGGTAAAGTTTCGCGCGAACATAATACATAAGCCCTGACGCAAATACAAAACTATCCTCGGAAACGCTGGCAGAATTGTTTCAAACAACGTGTATGTAAAATAAAAAAAAAAAAAAAAAGCAGCAAGAACAAATCGACACACGTCACACGTCAGCAAATTAAACGTCAAAAGCTACGTACAAATTATTTGTACAAATAAACAAATTAACAAGCGTACTTGTAAACATTGTGTATGCGTGTATACAAATCTTGTTCAACCCCCCCTAAAAAAAAAAATCATAAACGCTCCGACGATCGGTTATCTGCATTTGCTCGCTGACCTTTTTTTCCACCCGAGATCGATGCCGCGCTAATTGACACATCTGATAATTGACGTTAAACTTATTAAACGTTCACCGCGAAGGACTCGATCGATCGATCGCAAACGTGTTTATCCGCACGCGGATTATTAAAAATTAGATATACCACTTTGTAACGTCACTTGCACGCCTAAACCAGATATCGCGACGCCGATAACCGGAAGTCGCCTAGTCTTCGGCGAGGTCGTCAACCTCAAATGATACTAAAATAGCGCAATGTGTAATCACGTCGTCGTCGTCGTCGTCGTCGCGCCGCGCACTTGCAGCAGCGAGGATAAGCGCGCGCGATTTCTCAACTCGCATTTATCTTTGCACCTTGGTTGCTACCTCTCTTCCTGGAATTCTTTCGCTCTTTTCGCTGATGAAATAAAATTCCAATATCTTCCTCGCTTATATTCGCAGCGAATCGAAACTCAATGAAGCGTTCGAGAAACTTCGACAGAATGCAATTTTGATGCTCAGAAAAGTGACACAAAGCGTCGCGAGTGATTACGTTTATATAAAATTTGATCCGGATAAAGCGAGTTCCGCGACAGCGAAACGGTTTCCGCGAACGCGAATGTCGCTGGTATCCCGTCACGCGACATAACGTGTTTGGCGACAGTAAAAACGTACTCCCGCCGTTTTGTTCCCTTTCTCGCGTGCGTAACAAAAACGGAGAAGATATCGCCGTCAAACATGTCAAACGGCGCGACAAGTGTATCTTGATGCGGCGAATTTTTTGGCGAATCTATCGAACGTCATCGCGAAATTTATGCCTTTCTTCCTGGATATTCGAGGTACGCGGTCGATTATTAGAAATTCTCTGTTTGATTGAATCTGTAAAAACTGAGAGAGAGAGAGGCGCGTTTAAATATCACAAAATGTTCGCCCCGCGCGAAGAGAGGCAAAAACCGCAGGAAAGTCTGTTGTGGGAAAGAACGGCGGAACGCGGCAGAGAGCAATTATGCTCAAGACAAGAGAAAGGTCGGATCTCGTCTCGTGAAATCGTGTGAGGGAGGTCAACCATAGCTCGGGATATCTTGCAAAACTACACTCTCCGGCTCTTGTCGGAGAGTGAAAAGGCCAAACGCGCGCGAATCACGAGGGCGTAACAACAATAACTTTACTAACTTTACTTTGATTATTCGATCGTCACGTGATTTCGCATGCCGTTCGCGTTACGTGCATTTTACAATCTTATAATTCTCGAGTTAAACTTCGTAAACTTGGAAATCTCGACGATCGAAGGACGCGCAAAATGTCAAACTGTCTCTATTTATTCATTTTAATTCAATCGAGACGATAAACGATAAAAAAAAAAAACAATTGTCGCTAATCATATCTACGGCCATTAACCGACTCTATCGAATAAGATAATCGCGGGGGAGCACGCACGCGCGCGCGCGCGGAACCGCATTTAGCTATTACGCGATGTTAATAGCCGGTTGCTGGAAGTCAATGAATCCGCCGCTTGACTTGGGCGGGATTAACACGACGGGGTTGCGAAACACACAAAGAGACGACGACGATTGTGCCGCCGGAAAGCGTGTGCAAAAGTGAGCTCGCGCGAGTTTGAATTTCCGTTCGACACGCACGCATCTCTCGTCGCTTCTTCGATCGCGACCGCACACCACATCGCGGTTCTATCCGCGAAAGTTTTGTGCATGAAGTTTAACATAGTTCGCCAAAGTCAACTAACAAGCTCTATTGCTCACAGCCTATAACAAGAGCCAATTTCCTGTTGCTGCTCGATTGCACGACACACGCCGAACTCTGAAAGTTCTCTCTCTCTCTGTTCAAGACAGACACATCCGCGCGCGCACGAATTCATCAAACTTTTCCTCTGTACACAAGCACATCTTTGTTTCGCGCGCGCGCGCACACATTTACAAACGAGAGTGTAACGCGAAAACAAGAGAACTGAGTGTAACTTATTGGCGTTCTATCTAACGAAGAGAGGTATTGAAGAGTTTCTTATGAAATTAACATCGGAAGATATTTTTACTTTGTTCTCAAAAATAATATATATTCCATGGTTTCGAAGCGTTTCAATCTTTCGATGTAGAACATTTCAAAATATTTTATCGGAAGATATTTCTGTAGTATTTCGCTTGTAAAATAATAATTCGGTGATTTCGAAGCGTTTGAACGTAGAATAGTTTCGAGATATTTTCGAAGAACTGCGTAGTTTTCAAATTCGCAATTTCATTAAATTCGCAAAACGTGGAATCTTAACGCGAAAGCAGGATATTTTCTGAGATGTGTGTAAAGACGAACTTCGTACGGTCGCGTACCGCCGCGTCTTTGACTGGTACTTCATAAATCAAAAAAACAAAAAAAAAAAAACAATGTTTTACATCGAGAACTCTTGCGCAGTTCTGTGCAACACGATGATCGCAAAACGCGCTTGTCTATTTGCGGCAATCCCGTCCCTGAACGCGAAAACATTACGTCAGATGCGCGTGATTTATTCGGACTTCATAATGGACCATTCTCACCTCCCACGAGAAGATCCATCGAGAACACGCTATCGATATCGAGCACCTGCTTGTCACGACGCATATTTATAGACGCATCGCACGCATACCTCGTTGCCAACGACACAACACGTGTGTTACCCCGAAAAAGATTCCGTCGCGCGGTTTACAAAGCGACGAACGAATTTAGAAATCACAATAAAGAATCGACGACCAAGATTGGATCGCAATTAAACTGACGCAATTTGAGGTCATCGCGTTGAAGTTCGGTTCTAATTTTTATTTTGTGCCTCGCTAGCAACGCACAAATGAAAAAAAAAATGACATACGTACGCGCAGAAGTAATTAAAAGGTGATCGATAAAATTACTGATAATTAATTGGCGAGTTCGAACATTTTTGTTGCCAAAAGACGTTGCGGAAATAAATGACAAGCGAGTGGAATGAAACGCGGAGTTTTTCGACCGCGAGTTCGCGCGGTGCAACGTACCGAAACTTGATCACCGTTTTGTGCCTGGGTGGATAGAGATCTTCGTCCAGGATCATCGTCGTGGATCGGTCCCGACGCGTGGTCTCTTCCTCGCCGATAGAGAGCGGATCGATACTGGCGAACGCGAGAGCAAAGTCGCGCGACGAGACGACGCACTTTGAAAACAGCAGCGGCGCGCGGCGCTCTGTGTGTGCAGTCGCCGCGATGCCGCAAAAATTACTGCGTAAAATCGCGCACGGACGATGTTCGCAAGCTCCTCCTCACCTTTTCCTGCATCGCGATTTTAGAGCTTGATTCCAGCGGTTCTCGAGTGGGAGAAGTCCATTAGCGATCGCGCAACGTGAGCAATGTCAGGGTCACTTGACGCAATAATTGTAATAACAACGCGATGTAAAAAAGCGTGCTGCTGTTTTTCTCATCCTCGAACAAGGTGCACTCGCGGAGCACCCGTCGATTTCGTCTCGAAGAGAACACGTGTGTAAAAATGAAGAAGAAAAAACGACTCGGTACGCGTAACGTAATATAAATTTTTTAACGCAATATAAATTTTTTAAAAAAATATATAAAAATTGTAAACCGCGTTAACAAAATTACTCGCGCAACTACAACATCGAGATGCAAAAGAGAATTCCACCGGTGGAATTTATTTCCGCGTTTTCATCTTGCTTTTCCATACTGAACACATTTTGCAAGTTCCCGGTAACGTTGCGTATGTGTGTGTGTGCGCGCACCAACAATGTGCGCGTTTATCAGTGCGCCACCGACTCCCGCGTTCATTGTGCGTTCTCGCGACCGACACGTAATTGCGTAACAGAGACGCGCGCGCAACTGCTCGCGGTAATAGCGCGACGCGTACACACCAACCGAGATATTTTCCACAACAATGTGTTTTAAAATAAAACCGGATTCGCTATAGAAACGTCAACTCGTCGAAACACTTACGCCCGTGTAACTTTACTGACTCTGTAAAAATGCAACAGACAGTGCTCGAGACACTCGTTTGCCGACTCGAAAAATGGTTTGCGGAGAGAACAAGACTTTCTTTCGTGAATATTGCCGACGATGCAGTGGTGTTTGACAATTATGCGAAAATCAACACACGTTCAGAACAAAATTTGTTTCGTTCACACGAAAATCGCTATACCACATATTTTGCCTCGGAAAGAAAAAAAACGTGTACAAAAATTTAAATCGCCGCGTGATTATTTCGCGCGGTCGCTTTCCGCTAAACGAGAAAGATCAGATAATTCCGGTGATAAAGTTACACCGTCACACATTCGAACGTATGCAAATTTCCGATGCACGCACACTATCGCACCCGAGATTATTCCGCGCGCGCTTTGCTCTCCTCTCCGCCGAGACGCTCAAAGGGGGGCTTCTGGTCTGCGAATGCAGTGACGGAATCTCTATAAATAGCAGGTACGGGATACTGAAATGCGTGAAACGACTGTATCGATGCAAAAAAAAAAAAAAAAAAAAAAATGAGATAATTTAACGGCGACCCGAATTGCACTTTCCATTAACAGAACTTGGCGCTAAACTTCAAGAGAGTCCATTTACTCACTCACTCGCTCGTTTTTGCGTGCGACTCGATGTGACGCTTCGCGATAATTAACAAAAAAAAAAAAAAAAAACAGCTGTATTTAATAGATTTTACAAGTCATGTGACAGACGTATCTTTTCTCACGCTAATTAACGCGCGTAATAATAAATTAAACAGTATTCTGTTCTTCAACAAAGCCACGGCGACGACGACGACGACGTGAATTTATCGCGCACGAATAATTCCCAGGTAATTTTGTACCGCACGTTTTCCTGAGCGCGAACGAATCGTCCAAACGTACAGGTAATATCATCAATATTTTTTGTATTGATTTCGATATTTTCTTTCGCAAAGAGAGTGGCTCGTTTTCTTGGAACAAAAAAAAATTAATTAAATATTTAACGTATCTGTGTTTTCAATTATGATAATGCGTTTCTTGCTTACGCAATCGAACTTTTGAATCATCGTCTCAAAAAATCGAATTACGTGCGCGCGATAACACCTGCGATCGATCAGTAAACGGACGTAATAATCTCGTCAATCGCACGCTCGATCAGGCTAATCCACACGGAACTTGCGCGAAATTACCGACGATCAAGACGGATCGTGAATAATATTTATCGCGCAAAAATTGGTTTTTTTTTTCTTTTTTTTTTTTCAGACATTGCGAGTTGGATACACGAAGCCTGCGAGTGATTAGCTGATCCGTCGATCAGCGAGTAATTTCAACGCCGAACGTGCATCGCGCGGCGCGCAATAAAAAAGAAACAGTTTCCCTGAAGATACGTCGGAGATAAGGCGAATTCGACATCTGTCGCGTAAACACAAATTTGACACGATCGAAAACGAAAGCAACTAAATAATAGATCCGATATAAAAGTACCGAAACAAAAGTTTGTTTCTAGAGTTTCTCTCTCACTGTCTCTCTTTCCCCTTGTTCTTTGCGTCGCAATTAGGACAAATTTAATTGCATCACCGCGTCATTCTGTTTCAAAGAACAGAAAGATCAATACACTCCCGATGTTAACAGTTTTATTTACTTGCCTTGTTTCGTCCCAAAAAGAGTCAATTATTTTGTCAGTTACTTGTTCCAATTCTTTTTATCGATCTTTCGTCAATTCGCATAACGGCAGCCGCGACGTACGCCGCGAAGTTGCAGTAGTTGGCGTACGAAACGGAAACCGTACGCGTTAACTTCAGATAATCAAAATAATGTTTTGTATAGATGTGTAACGCGAAGGATGATTTTTCGATAAAAGCAACATATATAACCGGCAAACACGCGCGTAAACACGTCGAATTGCGCAGCACTTGTGGAATGCCGAAAAAAAAGCTTTCAAAATAATCGCGTATTTGTTGTGTCGAGTGAGAGAGAGAGAAAGAGACGAAAAGAGCGAAAGAGATAAAGAGAAAAAGAGAGACACAGAGATTGAGAAAGAGAATGTGAAAACCGCCGGCGTCCGGAAAGCAGGTTAGGAAATTAATCGCGAGCAAGTCCGGTTTCCGGATTACCTGGTGGTGCTCTTGAAGAAGTTGTTGCTCTCGCGGTTCATCAACTCGCTGCGGAACCGCGACATCTCGTCCTCCATCTTCTTCATCTCGGCGTCGAAGCGCTCACGTATGTTGGAGAACTCGGTGTCGATCACGCTGAAATCGCCGAGCTTGATGGGAATGTTGCGCTTGATACCACTGTCGGCCATGGTTTTCGCTCGTTAACACTTGTGTCTCTCTCTTGTCACTGCGATCACAATCAGAGGACTTGCGCGGTCCGTCGAGATCTCGCGAATCTGACACACGACAACGTTTCACGCACGTATCTCGTACGAGGGAATGAGCGCGGCTCGCCGGCTGCCTCTTAAATAGCCGGCGACGCTGGCGATGGCCGCTCGTGGGAGTTCGGCCGTGTTCGGTCGCGCTCGGCCCCTTCCGTAACCCACACGTATACGCGGGGCCGTCCACCGAGCGGACATTCGTTTTAGTTTTTGACGCGTTCGTCGATGAACAGGGCTTTGAAGCTTAATTATTTATTAATTACCAAAATAGCATCGTTAATGAGTCGCTGGAAGCTACACAGAACAATCGCCGCATACGACAACACAAAGCACGATTATTATCCTCTTCAAATTTACCATCGACATTATGGCCATCGAAATCATCTTCATTACTTTTGCAAAACAAGCGGACAAAAGTAGTCTAAAATTGTATGAAGTAACTGAATATTTGATATCGACGTTATGCGACCGCGTGTGTCCCAATTACGTTCAATTCGTTAAAAAAAAAATCAATATCATTCGAGAGTCAACCGTTAAATTTAAACACGAATCGAAAGAAATTACGTCTTTATCGATACAATAATTTCCTTTCTCAGATTAAAAATATTGAGAATTTACTGAAAAAAATTATTTTCAAGACAAATAACGCGAGAAAAACGCGGGATTCGAGAATTTGTTTGCATAGAGCGTGGGCGAAAGCGCGCGGAAACTATACGAATCATCGTTGATCGCGCAAGACATGGAAAAGCGTGACTAATAGACTCGCGTTTCCTTATAAACGACCCCCGCGAAAGAACAATCTCGCAAATTCCAATATTCAAATGTTTCAAACAAAATTTGCATACTTTTATGGACATCAAAGAAACGACGAAAATAACAAGCGCGCACGCAGAAACTTGAATTTTTTGATATACAGTTTTGTTTTTTTAATTTCAAAAACAAATTACGTTCTGTCGTGCAAAAATAAAAAACAAACATTTCCGCGCATTGTCAAAGCGCAAACTGGAAAATTACAACACCGGTGATTTGAAATGATGTAAGACGTTCAACGAGTTACGAGTGGCGGATGATTTCGATTTTTTACGGCATTGATTGATTAATTAAATTGTACGTCGAATTAAAAGGTCTCGTTGAAGAGTCAACAACATTCGTCGGCGAGACGTCGGCTTGACGTCTTACGTCTCATAGCATGTCAGATAAATTGAAGTGATTAAATGTGAAAGTATTTACGGAAGTCTCTCTCTGTCACGATCCAATATTGGACAATCATATTGAATCAATCGCGACTTCCGCGGGATTGAAAGAAAAAAAAAACGATCGAAGTAAGACGATTCTTTTCGCTCGTTTCGAGAATCGAAACTTCAATCGGACGCGTCAGGAAAACGTTTTTTTTTTTTTTTTTTACGTCGTCGTGCAAAAAAAATTCTTTTACGGTATTGATTGCGAGACTCGCGGCGAGTGACGCCGTCGGCTAATTTCGGCGTCTCGCGTCGTCACGAATTGCGCTCGGATGAATGGCGTGGCAAAACGTCACTGTACACGTACGCCCCCACGTATTCCCATACACGCACGTGTAACACTCGTCAATGAGATACGCTCACGCAAATCAGAGCCTTATACCGAAAAATCTCGTCGGAGAGATTCAACGCAATTGACCGAATCAGTCGATTAGAGAAGTCACTTGTTGACGTTGAATTTTTGGCGAATCGCAGAAAAGAGGTAATTCGCAATGAACCTGAACAACAATCAGATATATGCGTTTTTTAATCAGTTTTGACTTAATTGATACAACAGGTGACTTTTTAGCTTTACGCGATCGCGTTGCTCAACATTGCGCGCGTTTCAAAAACGTTCGAAGCATTCGTCTGAGAATTTTCATTATCGCGCGACAATACGCCCGCTTAAAAAAAAGTGCGCGATGTCGCATTATAGAACACAAAAAACGACGAGAGGACATAAAAGACACACAGATCACGACCAACCGGACCGTCGAGGTTGCTCGAAGTGTGTCAATGTCAGAGTACGCGCTTGTGTACTCTCCTCCGGGGGAGAGAGGAGAACGATGCGACGAGAGAGAGAGAAAGAGACGTTCTCTAGCGCGACGCGGACTTCCTCCTCTCGTTTCTGAAATGTGTTGACGAAACGACAGCTGTGCCCCACCGTACTAGCGAGGACTTGGACGTGTGACGTCACGTGTCCGTGGGGGTTTCGCCAATCGATAAAAGGAGCGTCGCGACGGCTCCTAATATGGATCGAAGATAAAGGCCTCATAGTACGCGCGCTTTCCGATCGATCTTACCTGTAATTGTCCGGAATTCCACAATACGCAGATCATGAAAAAAAAAAAAAAAAAAAATGATATCATCTCGAATCAAAATCTCACGATGGATCTCGTTGCCGTTCGGGCAAGCTGGCAGAAATAAATTTCTGTGTCTCATCGAAAGAGAGTGCAGCGAGAATTGTTTCTCTTTCGACATATTGTGCGGCTTTCTATCTCATTTCTGCGTCTATTTTATAGTCCGTTGTTTTTCTAGGTTTTTTTTTTTTTTGATTTAAATTAAATCTCTCTAGCGTACTGTAAGTAGTAGCGTACGTGGATATTGCACGTAACGTAACCACACGGCAGGATCATATCGCGAGGCTATACGCACCGCGAGTCTCTTACGTCTCAGACCGGTTGGTGTCACGTTACGTTTTGCAGGTTTGCACAGGACACTCGTCGTCAAAGTGTATCGATCCGGGAAACAGTTTGTGTCCACGCGATCTCTGTTCACGATACAAACAAAAAAAGAATTCGACAAAATAATCTTTCTGCCGTCGTCGCGATACGAGACGCAAAATATTGTCGTTAATTAAAAGCAATCCGAAGACCAAACTCAACGCACGTGAGTCTCACGTACAATGATATCACCGAATGACGTCACAGCGCGTTAACCTCACGTTATAAGTCTCGTCCGTCTTGTGCACACGCGAAATTATCGTGCGCGGACAAGAAGTAACAATCTCTTGATGACGTTGTTAAAATGTTCAGAAAATTGTATCTTGCATTTGTAAAAAAAAATCATTCAAATATATTTTATACTCCAAATGAAACCCATCGCGCATCTGTGTGATGGGTTTTATATATTTAAAAACAAATGCAATAAATAATCAATAAATGTATCAGAAAAACGAAGTTAAACAGAGATATTTTTACCGCTCGAAAGAGTTCAAGGTGATGAGAGTTCGCGTCGCATTTTCACACACATCCAGAGTTTATCGCGCGACGCGGAAATTTCGCGAGGCAACGGAAGAAGATTCCTCATCCCCCGCAGTTCCTCCTCCAGCGACATTGAATCGCGAAGGAACCGAACGGAGGTATCGAACGAGAGAGAAAGAGAGAGAGAGAGAGAGAATTCCTTCCGACGCGCGCGGCCTCGGATACTCCGCGGCTGTCTCGAATTTTGCCGGCTAATAATAGCTCTCGGTGGCGCGCATACCAAGGAAGAGCTACTACCTTTTCGACGACGTCAGTTGTGCTTGTTTTCCCCGTCGGACTATGAATATAATTTGTTCAATGTCACAAATGCAACCCGGCGTGGTTCCGAAACACACGCACACATCGGCGAGAGAAGCGAGGAATTTAATTTAGCGGCGCGCGCGATATGTCGCAAGCGCGGGGATGTGTGATGTGATGTTGCAACTGATCTCCGCTGGAGAATTTAAAAAACATTTCTTTATTTTCTTGGCTTAATTCAATGCACATTTTTTTCAATTCCACGTTAATTTTTTTCCAAAGCACGTCAGATATCTTCGTGGAATTGCGCGCGCGATTGTCACCGTAATTATTTGTATCGCGGTTCAACTTCCGATCGGCTACTCGTTAATCTCCATATACATTGACTTATGCACGCACCAATGTCAGTGCCGCGAATAGACTTGCACGTAACGCGATGACAGATGGCTGTGCGAATAAAAAAAAAATTGATTGTGCAAGAGTTATACATTTTACCTTTTACAGTTTTCTTCGCGCATCGCTTCATTACTCATTTTTATACAAACCCATAAATCAACGTTTTTTTTTCTTTTTTTTAACAAAAAGAAATTGAGAAATGAAAAATTAAGTAAACAACCGCACGATTTATCTCAATTAAATTTGCATCTTCGCTTTACAGAAATCAACGTATATCTTTCAATTAACATAAAATATAGTTTCTTCCTTTTAAATGACAACACAAAATACATTAAGTAAAAATAATCTTAAGTAAATATATAAATAAATAAATTATGCAAAATATTTTTTTGACAAACATATATCGATGTTTATCACAGATCGACAAGTGTGTTTTTGACGTTACCATCTGAGTTTGGTTTGACGTTTCGTACTTTAGCCGCGATATCTTTTCGAGGGAGTTAGTGTACGGTAAATTTAATTATTTTTTTGTTACTTTCCACGAGCGCACACCAGAGATGCCAGTTCGTGGACTTAGTAAGCATTCAGCATCAAGTGGAGGGGATACGCACACAGGCGACAGCCGTGTCCGTGTGGTTGGCCAACCATTGGCCGAAGCGCCGAGCGCACACGGACACGGTTGTCGCCTGTGTGCGTATCCCCTCCACTTGATGCTGAATGCTTACTAAGTCCACGAACTGGCATCTCTGGCGCACACACGTTGAACGTTTCAATATGAAAACTAAAGCGAAAAATATTGCAAATAATAATAAAGAACGCGAAAAAGGAGATAAAAATGAGCAAGCTAAACAGCCGTTTGACAAGAAGAAATACAGAATGAAAAAATACAGCAATAAATACAGAAGTACGTACATCATACATACCATGTTGCTATAGGTTAAGTTTTTAGCTTTATTCAAAAACACTTGTCTTCGTGCTCTAGTTAATAAATGGGAAGTACAGAGGAAAGAGACTATGCTACGCGCGCTTCGAAAAGAGATGAAGAACGATCCGAAGAATCCAGGCGAAAAGTCAGCAGATTTGAATATCATCTCAAAGAACGCAAATAACACAACAAGGTACACACAACAACATTTATCAATTCCAATTACTCTCGACATTAATTCTGAGATATCAAGTGAATATATATATATATTTTGTTCAATTTTCTAACAGCAAACCAAAGAAAAAGAGCTACGCCTTTGAGAAGGTTAAACAAGAATTGAAGCAGAAGCAAGAGGAAAAGGCCAGAAGGAGGGAAGAGGCCAATCAGAGGAAGGCTGAACGAGAAGAAGCCTTGAAAAAATACAGGGAAAAGAAAAAGAATAATTTTAAAGTGCTGTCAAAGAAGACAAGAAAAGGACAGCCCGTTATGAAGGGCAGACTACAGTTGCTGGCGGAAAAAATACAAAATTTGACAAGATAAAAGTTTTTACTTGCATCTGTGGTCTTTGATCAAGTTGAGAGTAAGAAGATACAACGGTGTGATGTAATTCAACACCAGTGTTCAGAGAAAAATTGTTATTTATATAATTGTTATATATTGTTGCTTTTTGCTGCGTACAACGTATGTAGACATCGCAGTAGTTACGATTCTTCGATTTTAAATATAACAAACTTCGTATTCTTCTTACTTATCAATTCGATTTTTACGAAAAAAAGGTTGATTTTGACAAAAAAAAATAGAATAAATTTATTTCTGTGTCTACAGTCACAATTCTAATAAATGTTTTTTTCCACATGAAGTTGGCGTTTTTTTATCAGTAAACTTCATGCGAATGAAAAGGCATTTATTTGCTGTAATATAGCTTCTCGAAATCGAAAAATACGTTCTTCCGAATAAAATGAGATTTTCGTCATAGAGCGCAATTTCAATTTACCTTTACAAAACACGGATTTCTTCGTCATAATGTTTATTCCGAAGCACACGAACCTCTTCCTCTCCCCGCCTCCTCCTTCCGAAGAATTCAATCGCGCGTACGTTCACGGATGAACGAAGACGACGCCGCAGCCGCCGCGGGCGGCATCGCAACGTGCCCTTTCGCGGCGATCAATCGGTGAGAGCCGCGGCGCGGCGCGGAAGAGAGCGCGCGTTCGAAATATGAAATTCCACGCGCCAGCGTGGATCGCGCGTGCGCGCTGGCATTTCGACGAGCGGCCGTCGTCCGTCAGCGGCGAGCCAGTCGACGGTTGCAAATGGCGACAGCCACGAAGTCTCCTGCACGGGCTCGCGAATAGTTCCACGCCTACCGTGAGCCCCGCGACCGTGCCGTGCGCGAACGCAACCCCCCCGAATTCAGATACGGTATGTGTGTGTGTCGCACGGCGGTGCGTAACCGGCGATTTCGCCGCGAATTCGCGGATATCTTATCCACGCGGATGTGCACAACGCGATCTTGATTTTTTTATCTGCGCGCCCGTGCCTCCTCTCGACGACCCGGGCACGTCGGCACGACGAAAGGAAAAACCGCGTCGTCGTGCTATCTGTCTCGAAAACGCTCTTTTCGGCCCTTCCCCTCCCCCTCTCTTCCCTCGGGTTCGATCGATACGTCACGATCCATCGTGTGCAGGTTTCTTCGTCGGGTTTTTTCCCCGTCGAGATCCGTGACAGGGAATCGCGACAATCGACGTGCCGTCTCTTCTCTCTCCCTATCTCTCTCTCTCTCTCTCGCTAACCGAGAGAAGACCGTACGTGTGTTTGCGCGCCGCGCGCTGTCAAAAAATTGCCGAGTGTCGGAAAATCGGCGATGTGCAACATACAAATAATTTAACACAGTCCGCCGCTGCCGCGCCGTGTGCGGCATATCGCGAGAGAGATTGTAATCGCCCGGTGGCTCGCGCTTCGTGTCTCGCGCGCGACGAGCCATCGTCGTCGTCGAACGAGCTTAATCACGACGGTCAATTATCGTAGCTTCTTCGTTGGTCCGCTTCGGAATGTCGAGATCCGGCGGAGTCTCGAACTTTACTCTCTCTCTCGAGCTGAGTTGTCACGACGAAAGCGCGATACGTGAGCCTTCCGCGATAGCGCGCGTCTCTCCCACACGAGAAATGAAAAAAAAAAATGGAAAAACTGGTTTTTTTTTTTTAGATGGGAAAAACGGCACGCGTACGAGGAATGCGCGAGATTTGAGAAATATGCGAGACACGCGTTAATTCGTCGTTGCGTCATGTCGTTTTTCGATGTGCGTGCGCGAAACAAACAACTCGTTGCAGAGTGCGCGTTGGTTACACGCACGTCTGCGTCGGGAAAAACGTGTGCACATCTCGCAGAAGAGAGGAGATCCGCACCGTCCGTACAATATTTTCTCACACAGAGCTTCGGTTTTTTTTTTTTTTATTCGCAGGTAGTCGTTAAGGGAAACAAGGCATGATGCCGGCTGTCCGTGGAGATGGTATGCGTGGACTGGCGGTGTTCATTTCAGATATCAGAAATTGTAAGTGAACGCAATCTCTCGCACACAACGTTTCTGTGTTTCTATTTCTATGTAAATTAGAACGTTTACATATTATTTCGAATTGTCGCACGTTCGTCGTTCGTACGTTTGTTATCATGTGTAATTCGGTCTGTGTATTCGCAAACCATTGATGACATTTCGCTCGATTATTGGTGTGTCATTGAAACTGAAAACAGCATGCGAAGTGTTTTAATATACAGGAGAAAGGGGGCGGAGTTTTGATACGAGCTTATCGTTCTGATAGACTGACTTGACTCTCAAACACATCAATCTGCGATATATTAGCACAATTAACCATAGACTTGTGTTAAAAATCGAGACACACGTCGTTACGTAAGATATTTTTAAAGGAAAAACATGTAGTAATTACGCACGTTCATCATATTTCTTGCTCATATTATCTCTATTGTTGTTTTTTTTTTTTTTTTTTTTTAATAATTGTGTATTAGGCAAAAAAGAACTTAGTAGGCAAATATGTGGTGTACAGATAAGAGAGAGAGAGATCCTTGATATCGTGCCAATTGGTGCATTGCCATTATGTTTTGCATTCGATGTGTCTTATTAATTTGTTATTTATTAAGTGAAAATTTTTTTGCGCGAGATACAAGGCACACGAGAATAAAAATAAATGCATGTTAAACACAGATGATTTTCTCTCTTACATGTCTCTCTTGTTTTACGTCAAAATGAATGTGATTGAATTAATTTTTTCAATGTGTGGAAGTTGTTGCTGAAAATAATACGCCAATATTATTTAGGCAAAAGTAAAGAAGCGGAAATTAAGAGGATTAACAAGGAACTAGCAAATATCCGCAGTAAATTTAAAGGAGATAAAACGCTCGACGGGTATCAGAAAAAGAAATATGTGTGCAAGTTGCTGTTCATTTTCCTTCTTGGCCACGATATTGACTTCGGGCACATGGAGGCTGTTAACTTGCTCTCATCGAACAAATATTCGGAAAAACAAATTGTAAGTATATTTGTCATTTGTTTGTTTGTTTTGTTTTTTTTTTTTTTTTAAAGGTAATACATAATGGGAAACGTGCATCGAACATATCAAGAAATTGTTTTTTTTTTTTTTATATTCGTTTCAGGGTTATCTTTTCATCTCGGTGTTGGTAAACACCAACAGCGATCTAATTAAACTGATCATACAGAGTATAAAAAATGATCTTGGATCGCGCAATCCGGTTCATGTCAACTTGGCCTTGCAATGCATCGCCAATATCGGTAGCAAGGAAATGGCCGAAGCCTTCGGTAACGAAATTCCAAAATTACTTGTCTCAGGGTACGATATTCAAAATTCACTGCTATACCGATTTCATATGAGTCTTGCAGATAGTTTATATATCGAATTTGTATTTCCAAAACAATATTTAGAGATACCATAGATGTTGTAAAACAGAGTGCCGCGCTATGTCTGTTGCGGTTACTGCGAACCGCTCCCGATGTTGTACCCGGTGGCGAGTGGACGTCGCGCATAGTTCATCTGTTGAACGATCAACATCTGGGTGTTGTGACGGCCGCGGCGTCACTCATAGACGCTCTCGTGAAGAGAAATCCCGACGAATACAAGGGCTGCGTCAGTCTTGCAGTTTCGAGATTAAGTAGAGTACGTTGTCAAAATACGTATATCAACCGTGCGTAACAGCAAGTAAATTATTTTTCTTTAAACGTGTGTTACTTTTATACGTTTGTAGATCGTCACGTCGAGTTATACAGATCTGCAGGATTACACGTATTACTTCGTGCCCGCGCCGTGGTTATCCGTCAAGTTGCTGCGTTTGCTGCAGAACTACACACCACCAGGTAATTTATTTATAGACTACTCCTGCATATATTTAGAAACGCAATAAATAGCGTACATTGTTTACACGAAATTTGCTTCGACAGCTGAGGATCCGGGTGTAAGGGGCCGTTTAAACGAGTGTCTAGAAACTATATTGAACAAAGCTCAAGAACCACCAAAGTCGAAGAAAGTTCAGCATTCGAATGCGAAGAATGCTGTGCTCTTTGAAGCCATTAGTTTAATTATTCATAACGATAGCGAGCCAAATCTTCTGGTGCGAGCGTGCAATCAGCTCGGCCAATTCTTGTCGAATCGCGAGACCAATTTGCGATACCTGGCACTCGAGTCGATGTGCCACTTGGCCACTTCGGAGTTCTCGCACGAGGCCGTGAAGAAACATCAAGAAGTAGTAATACTGTCGATGAAGATGGAAAAGGACGTGTCCGTGAGACAGCAAGCGGTAGATCTCCTGTACGCCATGTGCGATAAGACCAACGCCGAGGAAATAGTTCAGGAAATGCTCAACTATCTGGAAACTGCGGATTACTCGATCAGAGAAGAGATGGTTCTCAAAGTAGCTATTCTGGCTGAGAAATACGCAACTGATTACACTTGGTACGTGGACGTTATTCTGAACTTAATCAGGATAGCGGGCGATTACGTTTCCGAAGAGGTTTGGTATCGAGTCATTCAAATTGTCATCAATCGGGACGACGTTCAAGGTTACGCCGCGAAAACCGTCTTTGAGGTAAAATTATATCATTCTCGTTTCGTAAAAGAAATAAAAATATTTAATTTTGTGTACATTGTTCGTTCGTCGTAGGCGTTACAAGCGCCTGCTTGTCACGAAAACATGGTTAAAGTCGGTGGTTACATACTTGGCGAGTTCGGTAACTTGATCGCTGGCGATCAACGATCGTCCCCAGCTGTCCAGTTTCAACTACTACATTCCAAAGTAAGCACTTCTCCTTGCAAGATTCTCCGTGCAAACTTTCGTATTTATCGAGCAGAACTCTGTAACGGAATCGATATGTTTACAGTATCATTTATGCTCTCCCATGACACGGGCGTTGCTGCTCTCGACTTACATAAAGTTCGTCAATCTGTTCCCGGAGATTCGTAGTCAAATACAAGACGTCTTCAGGCAGCACAACAATCTACGCAGTGCAGACGCCGAGCTGCAGCAGAGAGCGTCGGAATATCTACAATTGAGCATTATTGCCTCAACTGATGTTTTGGTACTTGATATGACAACAATTGAATTAAATTGAACGATTATATACGTGAGACACTCGTGACTGCAAACGCGACATTAAACTTGTCTTGTGTTGTAGGCGACTGTGTTGGAAGAAATGCCGGCGTTCCCCGAGCGAGAATCGTCCATTCTCGCGGTTCTCAAAAAGAAAAAACCCGGTCGCGTGCCGGAAAACGAAATCAGAGAAAGCAAGAGCCCGGCGCCAAACGCGGCGAATCATCACGCTGATGGTCCCGCCACCGTCACATCCGTTACGGTTAATAACACTTCCGCCGATCTGCTGGGACTGTCGACTCCACCTTCCTCACAACCATCCAGCAACACGGGTGTGCTGCTCGATGTATTGGGTGATATTTACAACATGCCAAACAAAGTCGGTGCTACCAACGGTACTCAAAACACATACAATCCCAAAAAGTAAGGAGCTACACGTTGCGCATTCAGCTTTTTGAACGCGCCGATTCAAGAAGCGACACTCGAACGGCGCTTAAGCATCGTCCCAATTTGTTTTTGTTTCTTAGATTCGTCTGTAAGAACAACGGTGTACTGTTCGAGAACGATCTGATACAAATCGGCGTGAAATCGGAGTTCAGACAGAATCTTGGACGCGTGGGTCTTTTCTACGGGAACAAGACGCAATACGCGCTGCACAGTTTTCAACCGCAGCTGTCTTGGTCCGACGAGAATCAAGCGAAATTAGCCGTACAAGTGAAACCTGTTGATCCCGTATTGGAAGCCGGTGCTCAGATCCAGCAAATGATCAACGCGGAATGTATCGATGACTACAACGGTACGTGCGTTCTTTCTTCGACGTGTCTAATCTCAACAAAACGATACGAAGTATCGCGTATTTGTTATCGTATTCATTACTCATAACATTTTTTTTTGTTTACAGATTCGCCGAGTATGCTTATCTCCTTTATTTACAACAATGTGCCACAGAAAATAACCATGAAGTTACCATTAACAATCAACAAGTTCTTCGAGCCGACGGAGATGAACGGGGAATCGTTCTTCGCGAGATGGAAAAATCTCGGCGGGTACGTAAAAAAAAAAAAATGAAAAAATGAAAAAAAATACGTCCTTCGAAAATAGACGCGAGGTCGGTTCTTTTTTTGCTTTGAGCTCGACTTTTTTTCTTATCACGTATTGCATTCTCATCTTCAGGGCGAATCAACAACGTTCGCAGAAAATTTTCAAAGCGCAACAACCAATGGACCTGGCACAGGTGCGCACGAAATTACAGGGATTCGGAATGCAATTGCTCGACGGCATTGACCCGAATCCGGATAACTTCGTATGCGCCGGTATTGTTCATATGAGGGCGCAGCAAGTGGGTTGCCTGTTGCGCCTCGAACCTAACAAACAAGCCCAGGTAACTTCGATACTTTCACGAATGACACTCGTCGTGCAGTTTGAATTTTTTTTAACACGACGGACTTTCTCCTGCTTGCAGATGTTCCGTTTGACAGTACGATCGAGCAAAGAGTCGATGTCGGTAGAGATCTGTGACCTGCTGGTGGACCAATTTTAAACGGCCTAGCAGGTGTAAACCATTGTCGTAAAATTAGCACCGCGCCGTGAGAAGACATATCGTCATCGAAAACAAAAAACAAAAAAAAAAAGATTGAAAGAATGTCATCTCGCGTCAAAAAGATACTGATTTGTTAAGAGATATATTTGCGTTGTACCCAAGCTTACGCTCGTAATCCTGTATTGAGATCTTTGTGTAGGTGATTTTCGAATGAATTGTACATCGGTTTTTTTTTATTTTTTTTATTTTTTTTTTTATTGAAACATCATTGATTCCAAGTATCAAGTTCCGGAACTATCAGGGAAAAAAAAAAAAACAAGATATCCATGTATAAAGCTCCGGCTATCATGCACAGTATTATCTCACGATCGAATATATATAAGATGTAAATCTGCATCTTTATTGTACGTTACAATTCACAGTCCACGAAGTCAGAGAAAAGAAAGAGAGGGAAGATGTTGGTTACGTGTTATTAGAACCGAGAGACTTGTAGAGACAAGTTTTCCTCTTACGTATCGTTACGATTTATCACAGCGTGATTCGTTTCATCGACGTTCTCCAATTACGCAGTGTCATTTCCGATTAAAATTCAAACAAAAATATGTTTGATTTTTAATTTGATTTTTCGAGTTACTTCTTCTCTCCGCGATGCTGAATAAAATAAAAGTTTATTTATTACAATCTGTGGGATCACAGTATCAAAATTAAAATGCTGATTTATCGCGTATAAGCTGGTCTTTAGATTGTGAGAGATTCTCTTTCATGCTCGAACATATTGAAATATCGAGAAAAAAATCCACTTTGTGTATAGATCGTAACATCGCTGAGTCACTGTCAGATAACAGAGTAGAACATGTTTTTATGCATGTTAAATTTATCTCTTTTTTTTCTTGTTTTTTTCTTTTTTTTTTTTATTACATCATGTCGCACCTACACGTGAGTGTTTCGTTCGGATAAACGAATTGTTCTCATAATTTGCTCATTAGATCATCACGTGGATGAGAGTAGATTTGGGCACAATGGCAGTAGTTGTATAATATTAGCTGTTTATCAGATATATCCCTATATATATTTAACGGAGCTGCGAATTTATTATTTGTGTAATTAGTAGTTTTATATTTAATTGTCCTATCTTGATCTTGATTTTGAATAATTACCTTTAGATTTTTCTATATACATATATATATCGTTATACGATATATTGTATATGTATAAATCCATGGCTGGTCATTTCTACGTCTACATAGCGCGCGAGATTTCCGAAAGTTTATATGTTTACTGTTAGTATACGTCGCTAATTGAAATCTGCATGTGTCACAGGTCAACAATTTTTTGTAACTTGTTTAGGAATACGGTTTTATTATATCATCTCTCTTCAGGAATTTAAGTAAGTTGTATATTTTTTCAGTAGAACGCGCGTATAAACTTTGTACAGGTAATATATTTACCGATGTGTAGAAGTTTTTTTTTTTTTCGTGAAATGCGTTTTATAATATTAACCGATAGGGAAAGAGAGAGAAAGAAAGAGAGAGAGAGAGAGAGAGACAAAGAGAGAAAGAAAGAAAGAGCAGCTCTGAATGATTTAAACGTCGCTTTATAACGATCGGGTGATATGTTACCGACTTTATAAAGCTTTACACAATTGTATATATGGAATTTGAATTAATTACAAGTGGCTATAAACACATTCATACGAGATATACAGATTGCACTAATACTTGTAGCCATACGAGCTCAAAGTTCTTTTCGTACTCTTTTAATTATGCTTTATTTTTCAGGGAAAGTAAGATGTATATTTTTCATATTCATATATATATATAGTGTAAATCTCTATGTCCAGTGCTCCCATCATATTCCTTTCTCCCTTAGATTGTAGATTGATTTTAGCCATACGTTAAGTGTAGTGAAAAAAAAAAACAAACAAAAAAACAGGTCGAGAGAACACGGCGTTAATCAGTTTCGCTTTTAGTCGATTTATTGTTCATGTGAAAGATTTTTATTTTTATTTTTTTCCCCTATTTTATATGCTAAGACAAGACATTTTTATATAAAGTGACAAAGGAAGAGAATATTTAAATACTTTTTGTTTTTATTCAGATCTTATCATTGTAATCTTATCATTGAATCATAATGCGAAAGCACGTACAAGCGGACGTTTTATATTTTTTAATCTTTTTTTTTTTATATATATATATTTTTATCTTTTCTCTCGTAGAGCAGTAAATATTATATTTTTTAGACATTGTTACAACGCGATAGTGTAACATTTGTGTTTTTTGTTTTTTAAGCATATACCTCAGAAACCTTTTTAACTTTTCGTAGATGGTAGTATCGACGTAATTCGCGTTACCGCATTTGATTTTTATTCAGTAAATGTAAGTGTGTAATGTGTACAAAATTTGTAGTTGTGTTCTTTATTTGTGTATGCCGAGAGAAAGAGAGAGAGAGAGAGAGTTATGATTGTTTCCTTCACACTATACAAGTTTTTTTTACAGTGTGTTATACCGATATAAAAAATTCTACTACTGATCTAAGTAAAATGTATGAAGACATATTCTTTTGTGATTTTTCGTCGATCTCCTGTATTGTGCGTGATACTCGACTTATTATTATTATTATTATTATTAATATTATTATTATTATAAATATTGCATATTATGCGACAAAATAAGTTCGCTTTGTTCTTCCGAATTCTGTATGCGTACCATCACGTTTAGAAAAACGCACGAACTGATTGTGACGTGGGCCCTCGACCGCAATTGACCGCCAGTCATGGATTTGCGTGGAAGACTAAAATATCTCGGTAAAGTTTCTTTACGTTTCAGAGAGAGAGAGAAAGAGAGAGAGAGAGAGAGTAGCCAACGAGAGATTTATATAATAATAATAATAATATAAAACGCGCGACATTCCTTCGCCCCGCGCTCGCACGCGCGTTCATTATTATTAGAGACGAGAGAAAGAAAATCGTTTTTTGCGCTTAGAGACACTCATCGGAAGCTCGCGTGCGATCCAACGATTGGCAGAAAGACGCGGCAGTGTCAGAGATTGTTCTTCGTCGCGCGCGTCAAACACAAAGTAGATTTTAATGATGTAAACAAATCGTGTGCAAAATTTTTACGCGGATCGGTAGATCGTGCGCGGGCTGCTTCACATTCAGAGATGAAAGTTACGTTAATATATATATAAATATAAATATATATATATATATATATAAATACACGAATTATGTATTAAGGAAAAATGTGTGGCGACACACGGTTGTTAGATTATTGCGCGGCGATGCCCCCGATCGACTGGCGATCGTGATCGAAGCCGTCGTCGGTACGATTCCGACATGTTCGAACGCAGCGAGTGTACTCGTTCGAATGTCTCTGAATGGTACTATCTCCACTACATGTGACTCATTGTTATATATATATATATATATACGCCTATACTAGTAGAGAATTTATTTTGACGCGGGGGAGATGTGTCACAACTCGCGAAATATCAAGCAACGTTAACATGACAAAAGGTTTCTTCGAGCTTTTTATCGCGTTTTTGCGTAAACTTTATAGTAGTGGCGGCGAGAGAGCTTTATTATCGCGCCTTCTATTTCAAAATTTAGCGAATCGTTTTACCGATTACAAGGACGACTCCGACATTCGTACGTTCGATGCGAAATCTTGAGAAGCGAATCTTGTTGAAAATACTCCTCCGATCGCGAGAAGAATTAAAAAAAAAAAACAAAAAACAAAAAAAACAAGTGTCTATATCGCCTTTGCGCGCGAAAGATACTTTCGCGTCGTCATCCCGAATCGTCGTCTCCTCTTCGTTACGGTCTAATCGTGTACAGATTTAACGTAGAAATTATACAAGTAGATCCTTCATCATATAATAAAAACTGACGAGAGAACGTTCTCGCAAATTCGTGAATTCTGATTTTAATAAAATTTCGCGTGTGCACGTGTGTATGTAAACGCTAACTGAAAATTTCTAAATTTATCTACTACTCATCTCATCTCCGTGTGCGTTGACCGAAGTCAGAATTTTCGAATTCGCGTTGAGTGCCGATAGGGCACGGAAGAACGGATCGATTTTGCTGTTATGTAGCCGCGCGAGAAAAACAAACACCGCGACCGGAGTGTACGATAATGTCGGTGTGGATTTCGTTGTTTTCTTCGTTCCCTTTTTGTAATTCATCGATGCTCGTTGTATTTCATTTGGTCGCGGTCGCGCGTAACATATGCGCACGGGCGTTGTCACGTGTGGCTCCTGGACTGCCGTGACTTCGAGGTTGAATTGAAATTAATGGACGTACGCCACATCGGTCTCGATCTCCGGAGAGAGATTAGCTAGATTATTCGTTCTGGCGTTCGCAACGGGTCTCGCAACGCAGATTTCTCGCGTGTTACACATACACGGCGTTTTGCATTTGTGCTGTTGCCGTTTATTTCAATATTCCGAGACGCTTTAAAGGGAGTTCGAGAAACCGCAAGTTTTCTTTATTCGCGATCTTAGCGCGAGAGAAATCTGTGGTTCATTCGTGGCGCATTTCGTTCTCGTTTTCTCTCTTCGAAGAAGCAACGCTCCGAAGCCGACGATTTCTGGCGCAGGAGAACTGGAATACAGGATTCGTTCTAACGTTTATACAAAACGTGTAACATCGCCGTTGCCGGGAGAGGTTTTTTTTTACGGGTTTTAAACGCAAATACACATTCTCAATCCATCCATCAACGAACCAGACTGTTGCGACCTGTTTACGACCCGTGAAAAAAAAAAAACAACAAAAACATTCTTCGGTGCGTCGACGCGTAGCCGCTGAAACGACCGCGCGAACGTTTCTTTTTCATGGTTTACCGATTTATTTTTCATTCGTCGTTGAAGCTCTGCATACATACACATGTACGCGTTGAGAGATCATCATTAATTTAAATCACGAAACACAATGTACACACATTATATATGTACATACATATTATCTCTCGTACAAAAAAAAAAAAAAAAAAGATGTGCCTACTTTTGCCTGACTTTCGATTCTATCATCGCTCCGGATGTTTCATTCAAAAAACGCGTTTCGATCACGTGGTCGCTTTAGTTTTTTTTTTTTTTTTTGTTTTTGTTTTTGTTTCTTAATTAATCAATCGCCGAAAGTTGGTCGCGATACGTCAAACTTCGATTGGGTTTGTGAGACCAGGTGTAACAATTGAAAGTACAAGCAACCGCATAGGGGCCACAATCGTGTGATTACGAAGACGCGCTCCTTTTATATATTATATTTTACGAGTTCGTTGAGAGCGCGCGGTTTCCCGAGAGCGCGAGACATTCTGTTATCATAAAAAACTATATTACGGATCTATATTATATATATATATAAACGCGAATGATGAAAAAATACAAGCGAAAGGAGTTCAGCACGCACATGTGAGAAAAAGAATCGGAATGACGGGACAAATAAAAGGGACAACTATGTTTAAATTATTATATATATACAGCGCGTTTCATTACGGTAAATAATATATTTACAACAACTTAAACAGATTGTATAACACTAAGATAAATTATCTAAAAAATAGCATTATTTGTGATACACACTTTTCATAGCGCTAGAACTTGCAATTCCAGTCCGTCTTTGACTTTGGCGTTTTTTAATTAAAAATTATGAGTATGCTGATTTTTCGCAGACACGCTGGAAAATTCGAGTGCGTCGAGTATCTCTATTCGAGCGTGTCGAGAGACGTTGACCACGCGTTGATACCACGCGTAATCAACCACCGACGAAAGTGGAGGAAGTGAATAAGTTTTTGCGAAATGAGAAAGAAAAAAGAGAGAGAGAGAAAAAAATATGGAAAGCTACACGTAACACATTCCGGAGCTAAAAGAGACAATATTTATTATCAGTACGCAAGGGCAGAGCAATCATCAATTGCACTTTCTCTATATATCTGTGACGTAATTAAGTGTAATTTTACTCTCCACACACGATCGTGACAATATGTAATTACAATTCAGCGAACAAATCGACGTATGATATATATATATATATATATATACATATATATATAGTCGTAGACATTAATGATACAATATTATCTATTTGCCGGAAAATAAAAATGAATATATAAGTGCACTCTGAAACAAACAAATTTATTACATAAGC